ACGACCATGAACCTTAAAGGGCCACCTTCACAGCCAATGTTATAGCCACTCATTTTGAATTTCTTGACTTACTCTGTTCTGACATTAGTGGAGCTCCCCCTCCATCCCATTCCGGCCCTGGTGATTTGCGAATCACCTGACTCTACATCGGCCTAGCGCCTAATAGAGATCAATACTGAATGGGCAGTGCCCTGAAAGCAGAGAAGATTAAAAGGTGACCTTATTGAAGTCTTCAAAATTATGAACAATTATAAAGAAGGATATTCTGTTTCCAGTACTTGGTATGTCAGTAACTAGCAGTCACAGTGTCAAGATTGTCACTAAGAGAGCTAGCAGCGAGGTGAGGAGAAACTTCTTTACTGAGAGACTTGTTTTAGGTTTTGCAATACGCTGACTGGGAGAGTGGTGGAGGCGGATTCCATGTGAAAAAGATCTGGATATATATTTGGAAGCGATGAATTTAGAGAGCTATGGAAATAGGACTGAAGAATGGGACTAGGTGGGTAGCCCTTTCAGGAGCCAGTTCAGACATGAGAAGACGAATGGCTTCCTTCTGTACTGTAAAATTCTATGCATTGCTTTTATTCTGTGAAGCCAGTGTGAAGTAAAAGCACCTGATCAGATCTGTATTGACAACAATAACAATTAGCTATGTCTCTCTCCCAGACAGACAGTGAATGAGCAGGTTGGTCAGCTCAGTGGGCTGAATGGCCACCTCCTTTCCTATGTTCGTATGTTAAACCAGAGGCATCTCAGGAGATGTGGTTGGGGGGATCAGCCACTTGGGGAAGAGAGCCAGACTGTCTGTTTGTGTGTGTGTTAGGGGTGGGGGATGGGGCCAGGGCCAGGGGAGTTGGGGGTGTTGGGCGTAGCTCTCAGCAGGTGTACAACACTTGGTAAAATAGTGCCCTCATTGTCGGACTTCACCCAACTTTATTTGGTTTAAGTTTATTAACCACTGACTTTTCACGTTTTTGACTCACTGGGATTTTTTTTTCTCTTTCTGTCTGCTCACTATGCATGATGGGAACCGCTCAAACTGACATTTCCTGTTTCTGTTAAATCTCTGCAGCTGACTGCTCGCTAAGTTGCTCTTGTGGCAGGAAGTTGTAGTAACCACAGGAAGAGAGAGAGAGAGAGAGAAAGGACCATTGGTAATTTTAGCACAGAGAGCATTTCAGTCAGCCCTCAGGACATCATTGAAGTCACGATCATGAGTTTCATTAGTCCTCAGTTCTGATGGGAAGTTTGAATACATGTTAACCAGGATCAAATGAAAGGGATAGAATGCATTTGAGGGGCTGAATGTCTTCCTCTTGCTCCAGTCTCAGTGGGTTTCTGCTGCTCTCCAGCAAACTATTTACATCAATGAGCTTCCAGACTTGATGCCTGGTCTGTGCAGAAAGTGTTTTTAAAGCAAAACCAGTCCAGCTGCTGAAAATCCGAGAGAAACCCAGCATGCCGTAAAAACTCAGCAGGTCTGTTGGAGACAGAAACCGTATGTTTCGAGTCCAGGATGACTCTTCTTCAGAACTGGCTTATATCTCACTAAGATATTAATTCGGTTTCCATTCATCACAGAGCCTGGATCAAAAAGGACGTTTGCCTGCTTTGGGTTATCATTTGCTGGGACTGGTGAAAAGTTCATGTGTGACCATTAGCTAAGTTCAACGACAACGACAACAACATACACCAACATAGCACCTTTAACACAAGATATATATCCCAAAGTGCATCAAAGAGCCAAAGAATATTTGATTGGATTTAGTCATGATGTCCTCCTGTTAAAGTGTCCATAAGACCATAATATGGAGGAGCAGAATTAGACCATTCATCCCATCAATTTGACCATGGCTAATATGTCTCTCAACCTCATTCTCCTGCCTTATCCCTGCAGCCCTTGATCCCCTTACCAATTAATAACCTCTGTCTTAAAGACACTGAATGACTTGGTCTCCACACCCCTCTGCAGCAATGAGTACCACAAATTAACCACCCTCTGGCTGAAGAAACTCCTCCTCATCCCAGTTCTAGAGTGTCGTCCCTCCGCTCCTACCAGCAGAAACTATGTCCACTCTATCCAGGCCTGTTAGCATCCTGTAAGCTTCTGTAAGTCTATACATTCAGAGTCAATGAGTGTCAAGTCTGAACACACCCACCACATGGCCACATGCACGATGAGCACAGCAATGTAGAGAGGGATGTTAGGACTCTTCATTCTTGTGGAACTGAACGAGAAGGGACACCTCACTGAATGGAGAGGCGCAACCTATAAACCCAGAGGTTCCTGCTGGAAAACAGGAACAAAGTGTACTGTTGGTTACACAGATGGATACAGCAAAGGAGCCCATTGTGCCGACACTGCTTATTTGGTGGAGTTATCCAATTTTTCACCCCCACCTCACTGTCTGCAGTTTCCCCACAGCAACGCTCTGCTTCTCAACTATAGTCGGCAGCCCTTGGATTAATTACAGAATCCTGAAAGAGTGAATGATCTTTAAAGTTTCTCAGCAGCTTATCTGAGACTGGCTTGGTCATACAGACAGGGAAAGTTCAATCCACCTCTTGTAAAGCATCCTGGGATGTTTCATGCTGTCAGGTCGCTATATAAATGCACGTTGTTCAATTCCCAACCCATAATGGATTCCATGCAGTCGAGATTTAGTCAGGTGGAAGCCAGCCAGCGTTTTCCCACTCCCTGACTGTCATCTGGTAACTCACAAGTGTGGATATGGGAAGGATCATTGATGGCAGGCTGCTTTTAAACTGACACAGGTCACAAATAATGGACATTTTTCAGGCAAGAAACTGTACTCTACCAAGGGGTCCAATCATTGAAACACATCAGAACCAGATCATCTGGTTGCTTATCACATTGCTGTTTGAGGGATCTTGCTGTGCAAAACATGGCCGCTATGTTTCCTTCACTAAAACAGCAACTGCACTTCAAGAAGTAGCTCATTGGCTTTTAAAGCACATTGGGGCATTCTGAGGCGCTAGAGATGTTCAAGTTTTTTTTCTCCCCCCTCTTCAGGAGCAGAGGAGAGAGAACCGGGAAGAATTTTAATGGCCAGTTAGATTTGTTTTTGCTGAAGAAAGGCCTCTCTGCTTCAAAGAGAGTGAAAGGGCCGTCATGTGACACCTCCCTGATCTGTTGGAGTCATGTTTTGCAAATAGAAAGAGCCTGAATTGTTTTTTCCTCGGGTGGCCTGACATTGAAAAGAGCCATGGGTCTGCGCTGGTTCCCTGAACTTTGATTTTGACTTCTGTTGACATTTTCTGAGTCACTTTTAATGCTTGGCCGAGCTTCCAAGGTTCCTGGGAGATGCAGCCTGTCTCCCAGCAGCGTGAAAAATTTACTGGAATGTTTTTAGCCTTTCAAAATGGGGGGCCTGAGAGACAGAGAGAGAGAGAGAGAGAAAGAATGAGAGAGATTGTGCTGGCAGGAACCTCGCTGCAAGAGACAGCCAGAAACGAGATAACAAGGTGTAGAGCTGGATGAAGACAGCAGGCCAAGCAGCATCAGAGGAGCAGGAAAACTGACATTTCGGGCCTAGACCCTCGCCAGAAACGAGGTGGATCAACACCTCAGCTCAGAAATAACATTACTGACATTTAATATGACATGTTAGTGCAATGCAGTCAGGAGGGGTCAGCAATTATCAGAATGCACGCCTCCACTGGAGCATTGCAATTTCTTGAGAGAGGAAATGGTTCACCAAATGTGATTTCCCTTCAATGAAAATGCAGCCACTACTCCTTTTCAAAAGTTGCTTGTCAGCACTGCAAGGCCTGTGGGGTCAGGACAAGCTAACCTGTGGTTTTCTTCCAAATTTTTTTTGTTTTTTTTGCGAAACCCATATTTTGGAAGATTTTGCTGTTTCTTTCATGATTTGTTTACCTAAAAATTTAGCAGCAGCTGCTTTATTTTGCTTCCCCTTTTCATTCGAAATATAGGTGAACGTGACACTCCCGGTGAGGGAGAGGTGGGAAATGTGTTTGACAGTCTCCCATGAGAATGACGCCCCCATGAGTAGTCAGAGTTTGCAGGCGGTAAGGATGATGCAGTGGTGATTCGAAGCCAGTGATGGAACGTAAAGATCAGTTTTAACTCCTGTTGGGAGTTCTGCAGTTATGGGCCAACATAGATGGGGAAAAAAAAAAATCTGTCCCACCGCAACCTGAGGCCTAATAGACTTAATTCCTGACTGAATCCTATATGAGGGGTTGATAGCATCCTAGTGGGTGGGAACAGGCTTTGAGTGGCAGGATGTGTTGCCCTGGGGGCCTGAGGGAACAGGCCTCATGGTCAATTAGTGAGCAATAAATGGAAAGGGAGAGGGAATCCAGGGGCATGGGCTACCCAAGGTTTCCTTTTGTTGGTCAAAGGACTCACTCCTGGACCATGAAGTGAGGAGTCGTGGTAAAATTGAAAGAACTTACCTTCTTTTGGTTTTATTCCAGTCCTGTAAAGTTTGCTGTCTTCCTGTCATGGAATCATATAGCACAGAAGAGGCCCTTCGGCCCTTTGAGTCTGTACCGACCTATTTTCTAGCCCTTGACCCATATCATTGAATGATGCAATGGTTCAGGTTGTCCTCTCTGGGGTCTTTCTCCATCGCCCAGGCCTCACATTAAAATGGACGTAGACTGAAGACCGTGCTGTGTCCCTCCCTCACTCACTCACCCTAAGAAATGTCACACGGGACACCAGGATCACAGCCTTATCATTTTAAATTGTCCTTCCACCTTGCCTTTCTCACTGGGCAGTCAGACTGGGCTGCAGTTTGAAAGGATCATCTGAATGAAGAATCGGCGCAGATATTGTTACAAGTGGAGTTATTCATTTCTGTGTTCAATTATGAAGAAGAGAAACAGGCTCAAGCAGAATTTAGCAGATCGACAAACGGTGCGTTGGTGGGGCTTGTTGAAGGCTCACACTGAGCCGTTAATCAGGTGCAGGCAATGCTGTTTAATTTTTCACCTTTGTTCCTTTCCAGCCAGAAGCAGTGTCCAGGGGCCCCAGCAGAGAACGAATGCACACAGAGTCACAGCACCAGTCGGAGAAGGGAGCTTCATCTATCACGTCTCATCTCCTGGGCACCCCTTATGCATTTGGCCTCACTCATAGCACAATGGTTCAGGACTCCCGATTCCCTCCTCTCAAGTAAGTTAATGCAGCGGCGACAGGAGCCTTTTTATACTTTTAAAAAAACATTAATTGATGGGATGTTGGCATCATTGGCCAGGCCAGCTTTTATTGCCCATCCCTAATGACGGGGAGGTGATGGCCTAATGATATTGTCACTAGACTGTTAACCCAGAGACCTAAATAATGTTCCGGGGACCCAGGTTTGAATCCCACCACAGCAGATGGTGGAATCTGAACGCAGTAAATATCTGGAATTAAGAATCTAATGATGACCATGAACCCATTGTCGATTGTCAGGAAAAACCCATCTGGTTCACTAATGTCCCTTAGGGAAGGAAACTGCCATCCTTACCTGGTCTGGACTACATGTGACTCCAGACCCACAGCAATGTGGTTGACCCTGGACAAACCCCTGGGCAGCTAGGGATGGGCAATAAATGCTGCCCGGCCAGCAACACCTTCGTACAACAAACCCCTCATCTCTGGGATCAATCTAGTGAACCTCCTCTGGACCGCTTGCAATGCCACTACATCTTCCCTCAAATAAGGGGACCAAAACTGTGCACAACACTCCAGTTGCGGTCTCACCGACGCCTTATTTAGTTGCAACAATAAGAAATGAGGTGGGGGGGACATGCAGGGTGGTGAACAATACGTCAAAAGGTAAACTAACACTCGATTGTGCGCTAAAGCCGTGAGGAAATTAACAGTGATAGTAGGAACTGCAGATGAGTTTCAAAATCTCCCCTCCCCCTACCGCATCCCAAAACCAGTCCAGCTCGTCCCTGCCTCCCTAACCTGTTCTTCCTCCCACCTATCCCCTCCTCCCACCTCAAGCCGCACCTCCATCTCCTACTGACTAACCTCATCCCGCCCCCTTGACCTGTCCGTCCTCCCTGGACTAACCTATCCCCTCCCTAACTCCCCACCTACACTCACCTTTACTGGCCCCATCCCCGCCTCTTCGACCTGTTTATTTCCTCTCCACCTAGCCTCTCCTCTATCCCTCTTCTATCCGCCTCCCACTCTCTCCCTATTTATTTCAGAACCCCCTTCCCCTCCCCCTTTTCTGATGAAGGGTCTAGGCCCGAAACGTCAGCCTCTCTGCTCCTATGATGCTGCTTGGCCTGCTGTGTTCATCCAGCCCTGCACCTTGTTGTCTAGTAAATTAACAGTGTCGTTTCTGTGGCCATTCACATTCCATCTCGACGTTCGCAAATCTGGACCGCGATTATTAGGGCCCCAAACCAGGTTGCCATAGAGACAGCTGACCAAAGGCAATGGTGTTGCATACCGGCCTGCCCCTCTGTTCCCGATTCCAAAGCAGTGGGATCGTGAACTCACCTACGTTTGTAAGTTTGGACACAGTTATTTTAATAAAATGCCCTGAGATTGGGGGCAGGCTGTCAGCCATGAGGGACTGGGTAAATCTGAAAAGCTGCAGTCAGGTGGACGCATGTGCAGTTTTCTTTTAAAGTTGCAGTTTTGGCAGAAGCTCTGTTGCTCAGCCATTAAATTTTAGGACAGCCTATCCTGCGATCCAAGCCCCCACATCCGTCCAGGCTAATTTTGAGATTAATGTGCTTAACGTTTTGTTCGGTTCTGGACACGTGCCACAGAAATAGCTGTTGAGTCAAGCTGGAGCCGTGCCTGATCTTCCCCCGTTAACCCCCCGCCCCAGTCACTATTTGGCTGCTACTCCCAATCCCTCTCTAATTAAATGCCCACCTCCACCAGAATCGCTTTGCCTGTTTGCCGGGGTTGGTGGTTGCGGGGGGTGGGCGGTGGGCTCATGTTCGCATCCCAGAACGGACCCAGCTCTTGAATCCCTTCATCTCAAATCAATACCTGCCCCTCGTCTCTTCAGTCACAGACACAGCGGCACGCTCCGGGCAGTGTGTCAGCAACAGAAACTGATTGATAGCCAGTTTATTGTCGTGTTGATCGTTTTGTGTTGTTAGTTTGAGGAAAGGCCATTTGTAGTGGTTGATTTCCCAAGCAGCCAAGGGGTGGGACTTTTCCATGCTGAGACGTTGAGGCAAGTTGCTTGTCTTTCTGTGTCTGCCCTTATTGCCTACTACGCCATGCCTTTCACCCAGTAACATAGGATACCTCTCCAAAACTGCTGCCCTTGCAATCATTTGCTAGCACTGTGTACCATCTGTAAGACACACTGCAGTAACTCATCCAGGCTCCTCTGATAGCACCTTCCTATCCAGGACCTGTACCACCAATAAGGACAAGGGCAGCAGATACAGAGGGGCACCACCACCCCATAAGTTCCCATCCAAGCCACACACTCTCTCCTGAGGTTGAACTGTATTACCGTCCCTTCGTTATCACTAGATCAGAATCCTGGAACTCTCTTCCTAACACCCTAGACCCCGCCCCTACACCCCAACATCATGTGAAGTGGAAGCAGAAGTAGGCCATTCAGCCCACCATTCAGTGAGATCATGGCTGATCTGATAATCCTCAACTTCACTTTCCTGCCTTGTACCCATATCTCTTGATTCCCTTACTGATTACAAATCTGTCTATCTCAGCCTTGAACGTACTTAATGACCCACCCTCAGCAGCCCTCTATAGTAAAGAATTTCACAGATTCACTGTCTTCTGAGAGAAGAAATTCCTCATCTCTGGTTTGAAAGGGTGACCCCTTATTCTGAGCTTGTACCCTTTTATCCTAGACTCTCCCAGAGGGAGAAGCGACCCTCCACACTTCTACCCTGCCTCGACGTCTAAGAATCTTACATGTTTCAAACTGTAGCAGTTCATGCCACCACCCTCTCCAGGGCAATTAGGGATAGGCAATAAAATCCAAGTGATGCTCACACCCATGAATGATGAACAAAGCCGAGAAAAATTGCCATTGTACATCGTTCCCCTGGCTGTCTGTTGAGGCTTGGAGTCCAAATGCTAGCCTCTGGGTCAAAAATCCAATTCATCTTAACTCTATTGTACAACTAAAGGTGCTGAAAGCAAATGTTTGACAAATGATTGTACTTCAGTCCTTTAAAAGCATTTCTGCTAAAGCCGCTTCTTTTATCAGATTTTCAACTGAATGGATAACTTTGGTTCTCATGTTTTAAAAAAATAATCTCTCTCTGGAGTCAAATTTTGAGTGCAGTTTTTATAGAAAAGCCGTGGTAAAGGATGGTAATTCTTTCTGGAGGGAACGTGCTAATGCACAATGCTTAGACTCGTGATTTTACTTCCCGCAGTCTGCAGCGACCCATTCCTCACGTGGTCACACCAGGGGGTGTGCAAGAAGAATATCTCCGCAGCTTCAGGCCGTATCACACTGGCGAGGAGCTCCGCATGCCTTCGCTGCCACCAATGGGCCTTGAGGCAGCTACCGCTTACTACCACCCCAGCTATCTCGCACATCACCCATTCCCTCACCCAGCCTTTCGGTAAGTGAGACCTGTTCGTGTTTGTCAGTGCAGTTTGAGACCTATTCCATTGACTTCGTGGAGCTGCATGGTTTCTGTGTGTGTGTACGTGTGAGTGCATGAGTACGCATATATGTTTGTGTGTGTGTGAATAATGTGTGTGTGTATGATTGCATGTGAGTGCTTGAGTTTGTGTGAGAGATTTCGTAAGTGCGTGAGTGTGTGCATGTGAGACCGCATTTGGATAACACAAGTGTGTGCATGTGTGAGAGTGTGCGTGATTGCATGTTAGCGTGCATAAGAGTGCCTGCAGGTATGTATTTTTCTATCACATTCTCTCATGGGTGGGTAAAACAGAGAATTACTTGTCTTGAGCCCCAGTGCTCTTTGGTTGTCATGAAGCTAATTTATTTGGTGACATACAGTGCCACGGAAAGACATCGTCATTCCCAAGTATGTATTGAGCAAAAGCAGCAGGATTGTGTTTGTGTTTGTGTCTGTCTTGCTCCTGGGCTTACCATTTTCCTGCACTGGAGCATTGTGAAGACTGAAGCCCCACCTTCTTTCTGAAGGCGCTGATTACCGTCCTCTTCCCTGGCTGTTGTCACCGGGGCTGAACCAGGAAACGTTCTGACCCAGCGGAATTGCTGTTACCTGAGAGAATTCCTGTAAAACTGCCCATTTGCCATTGAAATGCTTGACTAAGCTTTTGTCATTGCAGAGAGAACATTCCAACGCTCTCCTGACCCACCTCTTGTTTCCCACCTGCTGCAGTGTTGAGATCATCAAAACCTTCGGTTCCTGTATCCGAGCTCACATCAAGACCTGATCTGCTATTACCCAGTGTTCACTCACCCCCTCCTGACTCCCCCTTCACAAATGCCTCTGTTTTAAAACTCCCCACCTCACATTCTTTCCACCTTACTTCTGTTACCTCGGAACACCGACCAGACAGACAATCTGCTAAGTTGTTGTTGGAGTAAGGAAGAGGAGAATGGACCAAACACCATTCCCGTTGGTGTCCTGTGACTGTTTCTGGAACGTGTTCCGTGTATGACCCCCCACGTCTTGAGGGCAGCGTCGCTGACGGGAGCATCACTCTGAGCTGTGATTCCTCTGTGGTGGCCTCCAGGGGACAGAGAACAGCCACCTGAGCACTGCAGATACTCACTGAGCTGTGGTTTCACACATCCTTTTTTATCAATGGGGATCCATATCCCTACTGGCCAGTCTGAGAGAGCTCAGACTTCGTGATTGACAGGAACTGAAGAGGCAGAAGGCCAAGAGACCAGTGATATACGTACAAAAGACCACCCATATGAACGCAAATACGATTTGCTTTCCCCAACAAAGTGACAGAAGAAACTTGACTCTCAGGCAGTCCGCAGACACTCCTTTGACAGATGCCCAAGTTAAATTTTGGAAGTGGAGGCTAAGAGGGATCCTGGAGCCTTGCATCTTGTGTTTCTTTCTTAAAGAAAAGATGTGCACTGTGGTTGTTTAGTTTTTGTCCTTGCATTACAAATAAGCCTCGTTGCCATTGGTAACAGACATTGACAGTTGATGAGGTTCTGTTCAGTGAAATATAAGAGTAGCATTTTAACCTGGATCAGGAGAGGGATCAAGGCTGTGGGAAAGTTGAGGGCAAACAGACTGAATTTGGGTTCAGTCAAGTTTGAGAGACTCATCACTTGGAGCAGGAAATGGTCCCGGTCGGTGCACAACACCTGATCTGTCTCTGTGAATTAACCCTTGCATATCACCAAGAATATTTGCAAAAGCGCATACAGTCCCAATACATGAAAAAGTATTTGGCACTTTGAGGATCCCCAAAGATGTGGAAGCGTTAGAAAAGGTGCAGAGGAGATTTACCAGGATGTTGCCTGGAATGGAGGGAAGGTCTTACGAGGAAAGGTTGAGAGAGCTAGGGCTTTTCTCTTTAGAACGACGAAGGATGAGAGGTGACTTGATAGAAGTGTACAAAATGATTAGAGGTATAGATAGAGTAGACAGCCAGAGACTTTTTCCTAGGGTGGAGCTAGCTTTTACGAGGGGACATAGTTTTAAAGTGAAAGGAGGTAGATATCGGGGAGACGTCAGAGGTAGGTTCTTTACTCAGAGAGTGGTCGGGGCGTGGAATGCATTGCCAGAGAGGGTAGTGAAGTCGGCCTCATTAGGGGCATTTAAGCGGCTATTAGATAGGCATATGGATGATAGTATAAGGTAGCGGTGGAGGTTAGATAGACCTTCGGTTTAGGGTAAAAGTTCGGCACAACATCGTGGACCAACGGGCCTGTACTGTGCTGTACTGGTCTATGTTCTATGTTCTAAAGTCAAAAAGCTTTCCATCACTCGTCATGCCCACAAATGAAGGATGAGTTATTAGACTGCTGACAAGAGTTTCACCCTCAAGAGAGGAACATCATGTGAGTGTGAAACACGTTCTCCACTTTGTCAAAGTGAAACATTGAACTTACCATAAACAAGACCATCTGTGTCCTCGGGCTGAACTTTCTCTCGAGATATTGCTGGCAAAGTTCTGTAACCTAGCTGTTTCTGTAACTTATTGATATACTGAGAGAGCTTGTTTTAAAATGGGCTGCTGCTCAGATGTCCTCTCATTGAGTCCAGACTTCCTATAAGTATTTCTTCAGCGCAGACCACTTGGAGCAAATCATTATTTGAAGCCTTCCTTCTTGACAGCCGTCAGTCCTGTTCTTAGCAAAGCTGCTTCTTAAATGTAGCTGTTGTGGCAGCACTTAACCTCCACGTTGCAAGGAAGTTGGAACCCAAGTGTTGGCGCTCTCTGGTCTTTATTATTCCACATTTATGGGAGAACAGTACTGCACATTCCCTGTCATGTCCCACCCCCTGTGTGTGTGTGCGTGTGTGTGGTGGGGATGGGGAGTGTTGTCCTTTAGCAGTGTTAAATGGATCTCAGGTAAAGGTGAAAAAGGAGGGTGATAGGCATGTTATCAGCCCCTCCTTCCAGAAAAACTCTTCCAAGTTCCTGAGTTAGGTTACACAGACTATCCAGAATGGAAAAGATTTGATTCAGTTGTCACTGCCTCTAACTTCTTGCCTTCTACTATGTGACTGGAGAGAGAGAATTGGTAAGTCCTCCACGCAGACTACTGTACCATCTCCCCCACTGCAAAATGTTCATGACCCAACAAGTCGTTACCCAGGATGGTTGACTTGACCTTCTGGAGCTTAGCAAAAGCAACATCACATGACTGAGGTGAAAGAGTAAGAGCTTACTTTAATAGGTCTCAAATTAAGTCCTACAGCAGCAACAAGAGATGAATTTCTTCAGAGTAGTAGAATATCTCTTCACAGTCGCGATTATCAAACTAAGTATGATACTGAACCAAGAAAGAATGGGGTTAAAGAGGTAGCTTTAAAGACACACCTTGAAGGATGAAAGAACGGCACAGGTTAAGGGAGGGAATTCCTGAGCTCAGGGCCCCAGGCAACTAAAGCCCCTCTGCTACCAGCAGTGTGATGAGATGATAGTGTATTGTAATGGTGAGTTTGAGTAACAGATTGTCAAGAATGAATTTGACTGATTATGCTGTTTCTCTTTGTGTTTGCAGAGTGGATGATTCATACTGTCTTTCAGCCCTGAGGTCACCTTTCTACCCGATTGCAAGCCCTGCCTCCCTGCCTCCCCTTCACCCTTCTGCCATGCACCTGCACCTACCTGGGATGAGGTTCCCAGCAGAACTGTCTCATTCTTCACTGACTGCCCTACAGTCAGAGCGTTTGTCAGAGAGGTAAATCCCCATCTTCCCTTACCATGGCATGAGCAGGCTTTAATCACCGTAAAACATGTAAAAACAGGGTTAAACAGCTGACTTTCTTCCTGGGAAAGATAACCAAAAGCAGAAAATGCCGGAATTTGAAATAAAAGGAGAAAAGTGCTGAAGCCATCCCTGGCAGGTCATCAGGCATCTTTAGAGACAAAATACAGGTTGATGTTAATGTTTTGGTCGGGGGGTGGGGAGGGGCGGGGGCGCAGGGAGGGTTGTCCCGCAGTCAAAACGTCAAATGCCGTTTTTATGCCGCTTTGGAAACTGAAAAAGCTGGAAATATTCATTAGGTCAGGCAGAGACTGAGAAACTGAACCAACATTTGTCTGTTCGTAGATGCTGCCTGGTGTATTGAGGTTACCAGTTAATATTTCATAAATGGAGTGTCCGTGGTATTTTTGCTTTTGTTTCTTGCTCAGCTGTTTGTCAACGGGCTGTGCTTTTCTGTTAATCTGTTAAATAGTCGGTGTGAATGTTCTTTCTTGTTACATGCTTTCACTTATATATGGGTGAATTTAAAGGCTCAATCTGCTCTGGTGGGATTTGACTTTTTACTCTGTGGAGTTCTAGCTGTGCCAGTCCTGGCTCAGTTGGTAGCGTGTTTGACTTGCAAGATTCTGGGTTCAGTTCCCACTCTAGGGGCTTGAGCACAGAAATCCAGGCAGACCACTGCAGTACCGAGGAAATGCTGCACTGTCAAAGGTGCTGCCTCTTGGATGAGGCATTAAACTGAGGCTGGATTCACCTGCCCAGGTGAGAGATCTCATTTTGAGAGAGAGCAGTGGCATTATACATGGTGAACATATATCCCTCGATTGCTATCCCAAAAACAGGTTATCTGGCCATTATCACATTGATATTTGTGGCAGCAAATTGGCTGCTACACATTTTTTTAATTCTTTCATGTGGACATTATTAGTTTGTCCAGACCCATAGTGATGTGGTCCATTCTTAAGTGCTCTCTAGGCACTTCAGGATAGGCAATAAATGCTGGCCTAGCCAACAATACCCATGTGAAAGAATAAAAAAATGTGCAAAAGCCAATTTACTATCACAAAGACCAAGGAAGGGCAGCAGTTTCCTTCACTAATGGGCACTAGTGAACCAAATATTTTTTTCTGACAACTGACAGTAGTTTCATTGACATCATTAGATTCTTAATTCCAGATTTTTTTATTGAATTGAAATTCCACTATGGCAGGCTTTGAACCCAGGTCCCCGGCACATTACATGGATATCTAGAATAATAATATGGATTATTGTCATTATTGCCTCCCATTAAATTGCTACATCACGACAGTGACTACACTTCCAAAAGTGCTTTATTAGCTGTATAGTCCTGTGAGATGTCCTTGAAAAACATTATATAAATATAAGTTTTTTTTTTTCTTTTACTGGTCAATTAACAGAATCCCTACAGTGCCGTATCCCAAGTATATTCGTTGAAGCTTTGTGAGTGCAATTTGTTGATAGTGCAGACAGGTGCACTCTGCTTTTAAGTGCGATAAAATGCCACAGCAGCTGATGATATTGTGACACCTTGTTCCTTTAATGTTCACTGGCTGATCTTGGTCGTTGACAGCAAAACTGGTTGCCTTTTGCAACAGTGATGGACTGACCGCTGGTCTGCACAGGGTTGTGAGTTTGAATCCCGCTTTAACAAGTTGGGAAATGAAATTCAATGAGTCTGTTTATTTGGATGCTAGCGTCAGAGAAGTGACCTTGATGGGAACTGTGCTGTTTGTTTAAAGAGAACAGCCAGATCATTAACGTCCATCAGGTTAAGGAACCTACCACCACTGTTCCCCTCTGAGCTGAAAGGCTAGGTGACCATGCAGCCACTTGCAGGTTCCGCAATGCATCGCCAAAAACAAATTGGGGACTGCCACTTCCCTTCTGGTTGCCATCATGTGGTATGGATACCCGGCCAGTTTGCAACATCTCAGCGAGACAATTAGACCCAGACTAGACTGGCATCCTGTGGTACTAAAAGGTCTCTGCATGGCTGAGATTAACATGGATTAGGGAATTGGAATTATTCTCTGGAATCTACAATGTGGAAGGGAGGCCAGTCTGTCCATCGTCTTTGAAAGACCCATCCAGTTGGTCCAAACCACTGGCATCCCCCCGTGCTCTTTCTCCACAGCCCTGCACAACTTACCATCTTGAGTATGTCTCTGTGCCCCTTTGACTGAAAGCCTTTAATCTGCTTCCATTCCCCCCCACCTCCCTTATCAGGCAGTGTATTTCAGAATATCACCCTCACTGTATGAAAGGAATTTCTCTCACGGCATCCCTGCGTCATGTCTAGCTGCCATTAATGCTGTATCTGAAAGCTGCTTGCCTTATGCCCTCAAGTTCAATAATTAATCACAGTTTTACTTTTCCCTCCACTTTTTCCTGCCCCCACTCACAGGCTCCAAATGGACGAAGAGCTCCGCCGAGAAAGAGAACGGGAGCGAGAGCGGGAAAAAGAGCGGGAGCGGGAAGCAGAGCGCGAGAAGGAGAGGGAACGTGAGCAGGAAAGGGAGAAGGAGCTGGAAAGAGAGAAAGAGAAGGAACGAGAGAGGGAGCGTGAGCGGGAGATGGAACGAGATCGGGAAAGGAACAGGGAAAAAGAAATGAATGCAGCAAAAGCAATGGAAAACCATTACTTACACATGCCAGAACTGCCCAGTCTACGAGGCCAACAGATAGACGATAGAGTGAAGGCTGCAGAGAGATTAACACCAAACCGACCAGGTAACAGATGTGACACAGTTAAAAAGGAACAATGTATATCTGACAATAAAGTGAAGTCCAGTTCCTTAATCCTCACTTAACCTGGCCTAACTGCAGGAATTCTCTGGCCTATGTCTCCAGTTTAAAATGTACGGCACTGAACACCTGTTCCTTCATCAAAGAGAAGAATCTATGTATACTTATATGCTGAGACCCACTCTTGTACAACAGAAATAATATTCCATTCTGAATTTACTGAAGTGGCTTTAAGGAGGGGGGCAATGAGAAAGCATTTGCAAAAGAAAACTAGGAAGCATGAGCACACGAAAAATAGACCGTTCTTAAGCTTGCTGCACTATTCAATAAGATTGTGGCTGATTTGTTTGCATTTTGAATTACAAATCCCATCCACCACCACTTATCCTTGATTCCCCTGCCATCAAAGAATCCGTCCCCCTCTGTCTGTATCACAAACCAGTGAACCCTCTTTAGGCAGAGAGTTCAAAGTTGCACACACCTCAGAGGAAAATAAAGTCTCATTTCTGATCTAACAGGGTACCACTAATTTTTAAACAGTATGGGACTCACCCACAAAAGGAAACATCCACCTTGTCAAAACCATTCAGGATCTTCTACAACTTCAATAAAGTCATCCTTCAATCTTCAAAGTGTGTGCACTAAATATTTGTACAAAGAAAGATCTCATTATTGACTTTTCGAGGATTCATTAGCAAGAAAGTTGTTATTTTAAGGTGGGTTCATCTGCTGAAGAGAGTCGCTAAAGCTGCTGAAGGGCCATTTTCCTGGTTTCCTGTCCAATATTTACCCTCCACTAAGGTCAGGGAAACCAATTTATCTGGTCATTATCCCATTGCTACTTTAGGAAGCTTGCTGTGCACAAATTACTGTCACTTTTCCCAATGTTGCAACAGTGACTGCACTTAAAGTATTCATTTGGCAATATGGCACTTTTGAACAGGCCTAAGGTCATGAAAGCTGCAAGTCTGTCTCTCCCTTGATTGGCAGGTGTTTGGACATAGTTGAGTAAAGGCAATCAAACTATTGAACCAAAAAGGGAAGCCAAAGATATCTCCAAGTGTTTGAAATGTCTCAACTTCAATTAGCTTTCAGATCAGCATCTAACCTTCTGTCTGTGTAATGCAATTAGCTATGGCTGTAGCTACAGATGTATCGGGACCTCTGTGCTTGGCTGCTTACTCGCTCCCCACTGCAACAACGAGATCTGACATTTTGCAAAGGTCACCAGAATAGCGTGCACAACCACACATTGTTATCTTAGCAGGGCCCTTGCCTCAGCACAAAGACATTATTTTTTAGTGATTGCTTTGGCAAAATTTGTATGATCTGCATGTGCAGCGAGGAAATTATTATACTGTGATTTAGTATACTGGAAGCAAACATGGACCATTCATGCAGGCAAATTTTATTCATTGAACACTTCATACAATCTGCCAGTGTGCCAAACGGTTACATATTAATGTTGACCCTACAGTAATTGAGCATCAGTGTTCAATATGCCCTGTGCAGGACGACCTGGAGAGGTATAACTGTATTTTTAAAAATATCTAGTCTTCTAAATTTTTGAGTCACCATTTTTTGTCAATAGCTCAATCTGATTACTGGCATTCTTTAACCTTAATAGGCAGCTTTGAAAAAGCTTAGGTCTGCAGTGCTTGCTTTTGAACAGATCCAAGCCAGGTAATGAAGGATGACGCAAATTCTTTCCCTGGCAGTAGGTTTATTTACAGAATGCGGCTATGCATTAACTGTGCCTCCCACCGACCAACTGGCCCAGCAGTTCCTTTTTGCATGTGCTCAAGATAGCTTAATCAATACTTTCCATCTATTTATCCTTCCCTTAACAAAAGCACAATTAATATAATGTTAACACCAGTGATTTACACGACATTCACCCTGAGGAGCAAAAGAAAACCCATCTGCTGCTCTATGCCTTCCAGAAGTCAATGTTTATGATTATGATAAGGGAATTGGCTACATGTCGAGTATACGTTATTCCCCTTCAAAAGCTACTGCTCCACCACCTTCACAGACAGTGCATTCCAGAGTACAATAACTCACTGAAAACAAATTATATTGTTCTCTGTCCCTCTGCTCCTTGAATTGCAAACTGTAGCTATTCAAGAAGCTGTCTTGCCATCACCTTCTGGAGGGTAGTTACGGCTGGGCAATATTCTCATCCTGTGAAAGAGCTTTTTAAAAAGTTGTGTACCATTAGAGAGCTGTGGCCTTAGACGTTTGCTTTCCTTTTCAGATAAGCCCAAGGATTTTGCACTGACGTGCCCCAAAGCAGTCCATCCAAACCTGCACCAGTCTTCCATCTCGCACCATTCTGTCCCCACCCTCATCTCCAACCATAACAGTTTTGTCCCCCCCGGAAGTAGCTCAGCCATGCTGCTGCAGAGGAACAATGAGGAAGAGAAGTGGATGGCCAAACAGCGGCAACTACGGCAAGAGAAGGAGGACCGGCAGTACCAAGTGTCCGAGTTTCGGCAGCAGGTACTTGAGCAGCACTTGGACATTGGCCGACCAGGCTCACAGAGTGAGGTGGAGCACAGGGACTCTGTCAGGTGAGGCTGAGTGACAATAGAGTCTGGGTAAACCTTTGAACCTCTGGGTAATCAATGGATTGGACTGCTAGCTATGATTAGGCATTCACCAAGGATCAGGTCGGGAGATACTAGTTTATCGACACCTCAGTTTCTATCCATTAGACCTGATGGGGGAAACGTACTGGGACATTGATCTGGTTTCAGTGTGTAGTCTTCCTCAAACTGCCCATTGTGAGAGAGAGCAGGCTGAATTTGATGGTTACACCCAGCGTTGTGCCCCTGGTCCATTTTACTACCTGTCAGTTTGGAAAACAGCAAATTATCCATTTGTTGTGAAGTATGCTTCTTGAGGGAGAACATGTTCTCAAAGGGAGGGAAATTGCTCTCAGCTGTGTTTATAACTAACCCATCCGTGTTAAGTTCCTCTACGTGTAACGGGAACTCATTTGTTAACCACTTACTTCAAATAAATTAAGTAATGCGTTTAACTGGTGGCCAGAAGGAACAACTATCCAGAGGAACAATGAGGAGGAATTTCACTCCTGCACTTACCAAACGTTGGAATTTGACATTATGGACCTGTCTGTACTTTAGTAGAAACATTAGGTGCAATTTTCTGACTTCCCTCAAGATGTGTTTGGAGGCAGGAAGGGCAGATAAAGAGTTGAGCTAGTAGCTGACCTGAATCCTTCTGCCTTCACCATTGCACCTGAATGAATTCAGGGCCTGGAAGCAAGGACAGAGATTATGGGTGCCAGTGTTACACTTGGGCCTGACCCAAACCAGCACCTTCACGCCCTCACCTGCCCATCCCCAACCAATGCACAGTGCCCTCTGCCCTGACCCCAACCCTGACTCAGCAGGACTTACCTCCCCTCAAGACCTATGATGGTTATTGGGCTCTGATGTAAGCCCCCTTCC